TAATTAAGACTATATATACATTAAAATGTTGATAATTTAGATAAAACCTAACCCCCACCACATGAAAACCACGCTTTTAAAGCTTTTGAGAAAAGGTGAAATATTGACTCATGCCAAATATTTGGTTTAAGCATATTTCAGTTATCACATAATTATTATTAGCTAATATAAAGACCAAACAAAATCCTGACTTGCGTATGATAATTATTTGTCCTCACAAAAAGGTGAAAATTAAATACATTTATAATCTCTTTCATTAATTGTACTAAACAATATGAAGCTATAAACTAATATTGATCACATGTTAAAGAACTTTGAAATAAATTATAATCACAAAAATCTTTTGAAAGTAACATTGTTTTCTAAATAGAAATATGAATTAAAGATATATATTAGCAAGATGGAATAAAGAAAGAAAAATCACAATTCATAAGAACAAAACACAAAAAGTCACGGATTTTATTGGCGACGATAAATTCCTTGTCGGAAAAAATTTTCCCATTATGACCCCGCCATACCTGCCACACCGTGATGCCAAAAATTGTTTCCCAATCAACAACCCCAAAATGGAGACCGTTTTGCAGGTTCTGAAAAATCCACTCTCGTAAAGGCAAAGTAAAAAACACGGGATGGTGCGTAGCAGCAGGAAGCAAGGTCATCCACAAATGCTTGGCGCCCCCACAGTCGCGAAGACAATGCAAATTCGATTCAACTTGTTGGTCACATAAGGGACACAAAGGTGACGCCGCTATATGCCGTCGATGCCTCTCCTCATTTGTTAACAACTTTTCCTGAACAACGAGCCAAAGAAATTGGCGAACCCTCTGCGTTCCCACCCATCTCCAAACAGCTCGCCACACGGCACGATCCCTCGTCGGGGTTGTAGTGAAAAGAGACAAGTAAGCTGATTTGGTTGTGAATGAGCCGTTTTTCGAGAAGCCCCAGTACATAGCATCGGGCCCGGCCGACCGTGAAGGAGGCATAATAGCAGCTATTCGAAGCAGCACGCTGGCCGGCAAGAGGGTGCTAAAAAGATTCCACTTCCATTGTGACGTTCGCTCCTTTGTGCATGGGGTCCACCTCACGAAAACCGTTGAGTCTCACCTGGGTGGCATGGGTTAGGGTAGAGGGGTTCATTTTATTCGTTGGATTGCTCCCGAGGCTAGCATGATTAAAATTAACACGGATGGCTCTCTCTTACCCTCGAGTGGGATGGCGTCTACTGGGGGATTGGCCCGTGACTCTAATGGCCGATGGCTCGGGGGGTTTGTGATGAATATTGGGTACTGCTCCATCACCGGAGCAG